TCCGGTGTGGGCCCGGCCCGTCGCGGCGGGAGGGAGCTAGGCGGAGGGCTGAGGGAGCGGGCGGCCGTCCGGCCGCTGGGGAGGGGCTGGGAGCCGCCGTGCGCCCGTCTCCCGCTCGGGGATGGGGCGAGGGCTCTAGGCCGTGCGGGCCGCGCTCCGGGGTGGCCGGCGGGTGGCTCGTGGAGTGGGGGGCAGCGCCTGCAGCCGCCTTTGGGCCGTTGCCGGTCCGAGCCGCTGTGCCCCCCGGGGCGGGGGGGACACGCCGCGCCGCCCCGCCCCCGGTTACTCGGTGGGTAACTGGCGTGCGGCCTAAAGATCCCAGCAACAACAACAACAAAAAAGAAAATGGTGCTTATCTCTCACACTAATTAAAAAAAAAAAAAATCCGAACCGCTTTGATTTCCAGTAAATTGTGATGTTTTACTTGCCCGGCTGCCCTGAACTGGGATCTAGTGCTGTAAGGGCAGTCGGAAAGTAATGACTGAAGACAAAGGGAGGAGTCCGTGGGGAATTGCACTTCCTCTTCCCCTCCCCCTGCTGCTGGGTCTTCTGTGCCGAATAAATCGGTAACCCTGTTAAGTAGTCCCCCGCGGACCCCTTTATAGAAATACCGAGGGTGCAGCTAACACTGCACGGGGCCGAACGGGGAAGGCTCTCGCTCACCGAGCACAGATGTGCAGGGACGGGTGAACTTCAGCACACCGAGTTCTGCTGCAGAAGGGGGTGGGTATTTAAGGAGGAAGTTCACAGAATCATCATCCAGTAGCAAAAGGTTTTTTTAACAAATCTTCAGAGTTACAATTTGGCTTTTTGATGAGGACTAGCAATACCAGCATGTAGATGCCTTAGTTGGTTTAACCGTGCTCCTGTCTATCTAATTTGCTTACCTTAGAAAACAACTTTCAAAACCAGATTATCTGAGGTTGGTTTTTTTGCTTTAATGTCAAGAACAGATTTGCGTTTTCCTGGCTTAGATGCTTGTAGGAAAATGAGCGGTTTATTTGCTAAAGATGAATTAAATCTTGAAAATTTCACTATAGAAAGGAAAGTTATACTACCAGTTCATGAGTTATAGCTTAAACAGAAATGCAGTGATACGTGACTAGGTGAATTTCACCATGTGCTTTCTTTCATGAGTTCTCTTTAGCAGGTGTTTTTGCATAAGCTAGAACTTCTCTATTTGAAGAGACAGAAATGGCTGAGTGAACTCTGTTCAGCTTCTGAATGTATTCTGCCAGAGATCTCTTTAGGTGATGCCACAATATGCTGATTTCGATTTAATGCTCTCTTTCCATCTATAAAAGGGTTTCTCTCTTGAGAATGACTGTAATGTTCAAGTAGTTTTTTCCATCCTTGTTTTCTTACTCTACCCCAGTGGCAGCTGCTACTGTAGGTCACTGTAACATGCTGTGACAGCCACAGATCGCCTTGGAAGTCTGTTGATCAGTGCTGTTTGTGTGGGGCATACTGAAGGGAGAGAGCCAATCTAATGTGTGAATCTGGTGGTGGAAACCAACTGAGATCACGCCAAAAGAAAAGGCTTGGGTCCTAGGGCTAGAAGAAGCCATTAGGAGGGGGAGTGGTGCAGTGGATAGGGCACTGGGTTGCAGTGTGGCAATTCAGTCCTGACCTCTGGCAGAGTAACCTGGAAGATGTTATTTGTCAGCTTCTCTCACCTGCAGAATAGGTGTAATGAAACTGGCTTTTTTTGAGCAGGACTGATAAAGTGTAGGTGATGCTGTGCAGTCTGTGTACCATGTACTGTAGGGTTTCTGCATTACTGAACTGTATCTTCCTCTCATATTCAGTCTTGAGAGAGAATGTGCAGCTTACCATGCAAGTTATTAACCGCTTGCAGCAAAGCTAATTGTTTTTTGCCTAGTTCTAACTGCAGTGTCTGAGCTCTTACTTCCTCCAGTCTTTGGTGGATTAGGAAAAGTCTTTTGCTATGTGAATTTTGTTACAGAGATGCTTGTCATCTTTCATCAAGTCATCTCTCAAGCTCTCTGACTAGGTAGAAGGAAGGATTACGAGGTTTTATGTGGAAAGTTGCAAGCAATAATAAGATCCCGAAGTGACCAGAAGTATGAAGTCTTCTTAAGAGAAAGCAATTTCCTTGTACATTTTAATGATAACTTTTTTTTTAGCATTCTAAGAGTGCTGGAGTTGTGAACCAGAGAGATTTAGCTGTTGTTCTCCAGTCTGTTGCTAGAGAGATGAATTACTGGTAGACCAAGATCCTTATGACCAAGAATGAAGGAGCTCCTTACACTACCAGTGCATCAAGTGCTGGTCCTAAAATCACCGTAACTGTACTAAGACTAGTTGGGACAGTCCTGCATTATGTGATCCTATAAAAGATATGTTTGAGTGCCTGCTGTGCAAGAGGTGTGGACAGTTGGTTTAGGAGTTTCTGTGAGAAAGAACTGAAAGAAAACATAGCTTATCATGGGGATACCTGTGGAAGTTCTGCTGGTTTTGTACCAGTAGTATTTAGGGTAGCAGCTTTGACAAAAGACTGTCTGGAGGGCCATAGCAGGGGTGGCATAATTCCAGTTAGCTTTAGGCACAGAGAATATATTATATGATCCTGTGGAATCAGGATTTAAGTGAGGAGGGAAAGCGTATATCTTGCCTTAAATTCCTTTTTTCCAGCCAAACTGGAATCCCTTTCCCTGATTTCCTCCCCCTGCTGCTGATTTGCAGGCAGTGGGGAGGTGATTTAGCCATGGCAACAGGAGAATCATAAATGTTCTGCAGGAATGCTGACTGCTTTGCTTTTTTGTTCTAGGCACAGTGAGCTGTACGTTATTCCTGGCAGTTAACTGTTTATATTCAGCCAGTGATGATGTGATAGAGCTAACACCAACTAACTTCAACAAGGAGGTCATTCAGAGTGAGACCCTGTGGCTCGTGGAGTTCTACGCCCCATGGTAAGAATTACAGCTGTGTACTTATTTGCTCTTAGCATGGAGGAGCAGCATAGGAATCTGCTGCTGATCAGTCCAGGGTTTCATTCAGTTGTTGGCAGTACAGTTATCAGTTTGATGGCCTTGTGACTAGCCAAATAGCTGTAGTTGGGATTCCTATTTTAAATATCGTCAAGAGTGGAAAAAGGCAGGAATTGGTTTCAAGTTGGCAAGTAGGATCTAATAACAAAAGCTTGTATGCCATTTTACTACTTCAATTTCTCTACTGAAATTAGTATTAAAAATGACTGATCAGAGTGGTTAGTGGATCAATAAGTAAGTGAGAAGGCTGCTCGCTTCTCTCTTTCTGAACCTAATTCTCATGTGAAAGCACAGATCTGAATTCACACTTGGAATTTCCCATTTCCATTGAAAAATACTGGCTTTGTGCATCTTAATTTAGCACCTCTATCTCCCATCCTGCTCATGTCCAGTGTGTGGAATCTCTTCCACATAAATTCTGGTGATGTATATTCCATCTTTGCACAAATCCTCTGTGCTATTGCCATCCAAAGCTCCATGTTCTGTAGAAAGGGGCCTTTCATTGATTGCAACAGCCTGACTCTGGACTGAGAGGTTTAGGGGAAAGCTTGCTGTGCTGCTTCTAGTGTTTGTTGCAGTTTTACAGGCAACAGAAAGCTCTGTTAAACAGTGGTAATAGTGTAGAACTGGAATAAGTAAATGAGCAGCTCCTCTTTCTCTACAGACTTTGATGCTGTGATTATATGCTAGTTGCCGGTCAGCTGTTGGTCTTTTCCCCCAGACACCTCCAGGAAACGTGCCACAAATTCTTGCTAGTTAAGAAGTTACCTCTAGAATAATTTTTTTCAGGCCTTATCACAGGTCCATTTTAGCTTGCAACAAGCAGACTAGCATGCATATCTGGATTTTGGTGTGCACATTTGCCTCTGTTAGGAAAGCCAGTTAGCTTTTTTTGTGCGTGTGTGTGTGTGTATGCACTTATGTAATACACATGGAGGTTTCTCTTCAGAAGTCTGAGTGATGATGTGATGTTGTGGCATAGCCTCTTCCCCTCCTCATGAGTAGATCTTAAGTCTCCCACAATTTGCTGTGAGTGACTGTTCTGTAATTGCAAACCCAACAAGACCACTCTATTTCGGAAATAGTTGTCAGATCTGAATGACAATTACTGTTGGTTTTGTTTTGTTTTTTTAAAGGTGTGGTCATTGTCAAAGACTAACCCCTGAGTGGAAGAAAGCAGCAACAGCATTAAAAGTAAGTTTAACCTTTGAAATGTGCTTGTGGCAGTGGATTGAGGAGAATTTGGCTGTTTGTCATCTGGCTTGGGAACATGGAGGTGGGGTTTGGTCCCCAAAACCATATGTCACTTTAATTGTACTTGTCCAGTCAGAGAAGTGACCAGTCAGAGGCACTTAAAGTCAGGATTTTTGTGGTTTTTTCTTTTTTAAAAGAAGCCATTGAATTGTACAGGAAGCAAGTCAGTTCTGTCCCTGTGAATTTCTGTTACTGTTTTTCAGGGCTGCTTTTAACAGCACCAGAGGACATTAGAACCCAGCCATCCCCCAAAATAGCATGTTTCTCTTTTCTTCCTCGCTGTTCTGTCACCTGCCTCTGAACAGTATGAACCGAATAGCTGAAAACAGCTTTGTAAGCTGTTGGTGATGAGTATTTCTTTAACTGCAGAAAACTTGGTCATGTAGTGATTTGCTAAACTCTTGCCTATGTGAAATATATTTCCCTTAAAAATAATAAAAACAGAAAAACAAAAAACCCCAAACCAACCAAACAAAACCCAGCTAAAAAAAAACCCCAAAAATTTAAAGTTTTTTTTGTCAGGATGAAGAAAGAAAGGGACATATATGGTGTTTTGTAGTTTAATGCTTTTGGGGGGATAACGCCTCTTATGGTGACTGTTTTCTTACCCTCGTAATAACTCTTTTTCTCTCCAGCACGCACAGAGTATACAATGTGTTAAATCACTGTAGAAGTCTTGTCTTAGTTTTTGGGTTTTATTTCCACAGGGTGTAGTGAAAGTAGGTGCAGTAGATGCAGATAAACATCAGTCCTTGGGTGGACAGTATGGAGTCAGAGGGTTTCCGACTATCAAGATATTTGGAGCCAACAAAAACAAAGCAGAGGATTATCAGGGTAAATGTGGTGCTCTTTCACGTGTTGCATGCCTAAAAACTTCCCTGAATACAGTAATTATGGTAGCTGTTAATGCTGTCTTGTGTGGTGTTTCCTTCCTGTCTAGTGCTTATAGTAACTGAGAGGCACATGGGTGGGACTTGTTTGACCAAATGGTGCGTGTCGTAGCATGCGCTAACAGTCCCACCTGCAGTTTGTAGTTGGTGGAGGTTGATAGGCAGATCCAAAGAATTATTCCTTTCTTCCTGTTTACTCGGAGCTTGCCAGAGTCACTCCTCTGCATCAGATAAAGGGAGTAGTTGAAAAGTGGAGTGAAGCCAATCCTGCTGCTTGTGTTTAAGTCAGTGATGTCCCACCACTACTACCATATCACTCATAGCCCAGTCCTGCTTTTCCTGAAAAATCCTCAGGGTGAAGGAATATTAAGTTTGTAATTAAGTCAGAGGCCTACCTTAAACTGGCCTTTTGATGCTTTAATCACTCATTTTGCTGCATTGCAGGTGGCAGGACAAGTGATGCTATTGTCGATGCTGCTCTAAGTGCTCTTCGGTCCCTGGTGAAAGACCGTCTTAGTGGCAGAAGTGGAGGATATAGTTCTGGGAAACAGGTATTTGAGGGAATGTGTGTGTTTGTTTTCAACTGGAGACTGTACAGGAGATCGGAGCTTGTGCTCCTGACTTAGTTCACAGAATAGGTGAGGTTGGAAGGGACCTCTGGAGGTTGTCTAGTCCAGCCCCCCTGCCTAGTGCGAGATCAACTAGAGCAGATTGCTCAGGGCTGTGTCCCATCAAGTTGTGAGTATCTCCAAGGACTGAGACTCCACATGGATGGCACTCTTTGGGCAACCCGTTCCAGTGTTTGACCACCCTCACAGTAGAAAAGTTTTCTCTTATGTTTAAACTAAATTCCTGTATTTCAACTTAAGCCCTTTTTATCGTGACACTGGGCATTGCAGAAAAGAGTCTGCCTTTGTTTTCTTTACTCCCTTCCATTTGGGTATTTATATACCTGGATAGGATCCATGCTGAGCCTTCTCTTTCCAGCTGAGCAATCCCAGCTTTCTCAACCTCTTGTCATATGTCAGATGCTTAAAGCCCTGAATCAGCTTTTACCCTTGGCTGGACTTGCTCCAGTGTGTGCATGCCTCTTATACTGGGGAGCCCAGAACTAGACACAGCACTCCAGGTGTTTCACACAGTGCTGAGCAGAGAGCAAGTTCACCTCCCCAGACCTGCTGGCCTAGTGCAGCTCAGGAGACTGTGAGGTGCCTTTGCCACAGGGGTGCAGTGCTGGCTTATGCTCAGCTTGTCCACCAGGACCCCCAGATCCCTCTCTGAAAAGCTGTTTTCCAGCTAGTCAGTCCCCAGTGTGTACTGGTGCATGGGGTTATTCTTCCCCAGGTGCATCTCCCTTTGAACTTTGAGGTCTCTGTGAGCCCCATTATCCAACTGGTTTAAGTACCATTTGTCTAGTCCTAGTCTAAGCTAGATGGGCGAGTTTTTTCTAATTTAGTAGTGTTCTTCTGATGTTGGCTTGCTGGATTTCTCCCTGAAGGTAAATTGAAAAGCTTCTGGCTCCTCCTACTGTTTCTAAATCATGGAGCAAGTATACTCCAACATCCTCAGGCTGGCCAGATAAAAGACCTAGGTGGACTGTACCCTGTAGTGTGTATTGCACTCGCACGTTTGTTTTGCCTGGAAACCAGGGCACAGCGGGGTGGTGGGGTCTTGGCACTTTGTTCTTGGACAGGTCAGAGCATGAGGAACTGGGGAAGTGTTCTCGCATCTTGTTAGTCAGTTTGACTTGATTTCTCTTTCTTTTTGGGGGGGGGGGGGGGGGTGTTCACTTGCTGTTTCTTGAAAGTGCTCTGGGGGTAGGCTGTGTGTATTGTCAGTTCTAAAATGGGAAAGGTGTATGACCTAACACTGCCTCTTTTGTATCTCATTCAAATAAAGACCATTTTGTACGACATGACACACAGAAGAGGGCTTGTGTGGGAAACCAATTTTGGTTACATCTTATGTGAGGGTCTGTTTGTTTCTTACAGAGCCGAGAGAGCGGAGGTGGAGATAAGAAGGATGTGATTGAGCTGACCGATGACAGCTTTGATAAGAACATCATAAACAGTGATGATGTGTGGATGGTGGAGTTTTATGCCCCATGGTGTGGGCACTGCAAAAAGTAAATGAGGTTTTTCTTTGACAATTCATTTCCCATTACTGCTTAGTTTTGTGTGATACCCTTAATCCCCTAAAAGAGACCTTGCATCTCTGGTATATCAGAAGTGGGGTTTTCTGTAAGGTGTTTTAACAAAAACATGTGGGCTTTTCCTGCTCAGGGCACCCTGGTGGTGCTCTGGCTGCATTCCTCCTTAGCAGTAAAATTCCCAGTTACCAGTGGAAATAAGATCCAGAACTTTTATTAACCTTTTCATTTCTTCAGTTGCAGGACTTCAGTCTCATTTGGAATAACCCTCCTAGCTGTCGTTCTCTGCAGAGACTTTATTTTTTTCCCTGAGTGGAGTATGCTACGGAATGGTGGAATGTGGTATACTTTTGCTAGCTCTAAGAGAGCTTAGAGCACTTGTACTCTTTGTTTTTCAGCCTGGAACCAGAATGGGCAGCTGCTGCCACTGAGGTGAAAGAACAAACAAAGGGAAAAGTAAAGCTGGCTGCAGTAGATGCAACAGTCAATCAGATGCTGGCAGGCCGATACGGGGTAAATGTCTCTGCAGTGGTTACAATTTCCTTTCCATCTTTAGCATGTCAGATTTCCCTTTAATGCTTACTGAACTGTTCCTTAATCTGGTACCTCTTAAGTGTTTTGTGCTAAAAATAATGTTAAGTGACACATACCATTTTTCCCCAAATAATTCATTCCTGAATGTCAGTAACAATATAAGTAAATGGAGTGAGAAGAAAGGAATAAATCTGGATGATGCTGATGAAAAAGGCTGTTCATTTCTGTAAGATCTTGTATACCTTTATCATCTGAAGTGAGAGATCTCTCCTTTCAGACTGTTTGTGCTCGCTGAGCATCTTCAGAACCTGCACATGTACCTGTACATGTTGGAGCCAGTTGTCAGGGATCCAACAATATTAGCTGCCCAGATCAGCTATGATGTGTGCCCAGAGTGAACTGATACTCTTGAATTTTTTAATACAGTACAGGGAACTTAGTGTGCTGCTTAGTTTACCTTTAAGTGTATGTGGCTGGCAATCAGCATGAACACTGAACAAGTTTTACTGGAAATGTAGCAGAGGGAGCTTAAGATCCACTTGTTGCCATGTAGCCACAGTGCTGTTTCCCTACAGATAAAATGGGTAACTAATGTCTAATAAATACAAAGAGTTAAGATAGTCCTCATGGCACTTAACCCTGCAGTGCTTGGTGTGTCTAAATTGAGGTGACACCATTGCTGATTCATCAGGCCTAAAACTTAAAACAGTATTTCAGTGTGTGTTAACTTTGTTTTGAATTGTTGCACAAGTAGGAAGCTAGAAAATTGTTCAGGTTCAGTTATAACCTGCTGTGAGACTGGATTCATGTAGATGTTCTCTCTTCCCTTTCTCTTAATCTAGAACACATCAGAGTAGCAGATAACTTCCACCATAAATATTTGGATTTATTTGAGCTGATGGCTTAAACTTGTCTTTCAGATTCGTGGATTTCCCACCATTAAAATCTTCCAGAAAGGAGAAGACCCTGTTGATTATGATGGTGGGAGAACTAGATCTGATATCATTGCTCGTGCTCTGGATCTGTTTTCTGATAATGCACCACCACCTGAGCTCCTGGAGGTACCTCTACATCATTTTTTTTCAAAGTGCTTTTCCTTCATATCCTTTGCAGCAGTTTTTACAGGACTGTATCAACTGTAAAAACAGCCTAAATATGCTGCTTGCACACTGTTTTGCAGCAGATCAAGGATGGCAAGACTGATCATTCAGCTTTCTGTTATTTTTTTACTGTGAATTTGTTGTTGACTGAAAGATTATCAGAATTGATACATTGAAGGCACTGACAGAATGGTGCCAGAGTGTCTGAATCCTCTCTTGAGGAAGAGTCAAAATGTTGGGTTCTGTGCCACACCTTTTTTTTTTTTACAAGAGGGCAGGGTTTTGTCATTTGTAAGCCATCCATTAGGAGATGCATGATGACTAATCTTGCTTGTTGGCCAAAAAATTCCACCCTCTATGTGGTGACTTCTAGTTTCAGCTTGATGTTGGTAGATTTGAAATGGTGATCAGTTGTCCCCAAAGTGGGGTGCATGCAAGACAACCCCTTGGGGTGCAGGAAAAAAAAAATTTGTACCATTAATAAACTTAAAGATATTTTAAAATGTTTATTTCATCCTTGTTATCCTTTTAAAATGTCTATTTTCTGTATGCTTTATAATGTATACGTTAGTACAGTAGTACATGTATATAATTAAAATACATATATCAGGGCTGCTTGCTTAGAAAATTTTTTACTGATAGGGGTGCACAATCAAAATTTGGAGACCACTGATGTAGATAAATGGGTTGATTCCTTTTTAAGGTAGATCACACAAAAATGGTATTGCTGTGTTAATGTTGATGAAATGTCCTCATCTTCAGCAAATGCTGCACCCTGCTGGCTCTCCTTATGCTAGCAGCACCATGAATGAAACCTATAGGCATATGCATAGGCGTATGAGTGTGCTGTTTCCAGCCCTGGTCCAAGGACAGGGATTTGGAGCAAGAAGTGGTATCTTACCGTGCTCTCTGTAAACCTTATTTGGTATTGCTTATTTCCTGTTGCTGCAAGTCTCAACAGAAGATTTTGTGAACTCTTTGTAATCAATCTTGTGTTGGGGGACCAGTGAAGTAGGAGAGGCTTGTAAGCTTTTTGTGTCAAGTTGCTTCAGTGCTTATTACCTTGTAGGATAGAGTTGATAGGCTGTTGGAGGGAAGTGCGGTCACAGCTGGGTAACCAAGTCTTACTCTTACTGACTTTCTGTGGCTTTCTTCTAGATAATTAACGAAGATGTTCTGAAGAGTACCTGTGATGCTCATCAGCTCTGCATCATTTCTGTCCTGCCTCATATTCTTGACACAGGTAGACATACAAGCAAGCAGACTTCTGTATGAATTTGTCACTTGAAGCATTTAGTTGTAGTTTTTAACTTGTCCAATTCTGTCTAACAAACAGGAGCTTCAGGGAGGAATTCTTACCTTGATGTCATGTTAAAAATGGCTGAAAAATACAAAAAGAAAATGTGGGGGTAAGTGTCGTTGTAGACTGGTCCTCTTGGAAAAGATGTGAGTGTTTTTAGAGATAACAGGATGGAATTTGTATGAGTGATTCATCTGCAGGTAAGAGTTGTTCCTTGTTCAGTATGGTATATGTTGGTATTCTAACTGTACTGCGGGAGGGGGTGCTGTGGCTTTAGAATAAACTGCTGATTGTTTTTTTTCTTTTCATCCACCTCTCAAATCCTGCATTTACAAGTGATATCTAAGCATTAATGAGATCAGGTTAAGCATCTTTTACTCTTGTTCTGAATACTAAAATATTTTGGGGCAGTATTTATCCAGTTTCTTTTAGAGTCTTTTGCTGGTGGGTAAGTCCGCTGGTATGACTGCTGAATTCTTAACAAAAAAAAAGTAAATTGCAGTTTATTAACAAGTTTCGTGCTCTCAGAGAAGCAGGCCAGCAGGTTTTGCCTTTTCTCCTCCTCTCAAATAGAGGTTAGGATCTGTGGGACTTCTCTGGGAAGTGAGAGTTGTTCTGACACACTGACTGCTGTGAAAAGGGCGTGAAATGGCATGAAAGCCTGGGGGAAAATGCTGAGATTGGCTGATTCCAGAGGTCCTTCAGGGGACTTACTAAGCATTGGAGGAACTGAGACCTGACCAGTGAGGCACTAATACTGAGTGAAATAGTGGTCTTTCAGTCTTTGGCCAGAAATCCTCTACAGTGTGCTTTGGGCGGTACTTTGTCATGTTTAGATCTGTGACTTGAGCCATTTTAAACCTTACTTAGTATAGACTGAAGTGTAATTCGTGCAGATTGGTAACATAGTTCTTTCCCTGGACTCTTTCACAGCTGTTGTTCTGATCCAGCTTTCAGTGGCTGTGAGCATGGAGTTGGCCTAGAGGTGTTGTTGAGGAAGGGCTTTCTTCTGTTACATGGTTCAAGATTGGGACCCTCTAGTCCCTGCTGACTTCAGTAACAGTTGACACTGTCAAGGGCAGTTCAGAGCCCAGCCTGAACTCTGCAGAGTTGCAGGATATGTGCAACTTCAAAATGATTGTAGTGCCTATCCTAATTATTCATTTTCTATTTTATCTTTTCCTCAAGGTGGCTGTGGACAGAAGCAGGTGCTCAGTCAGATCTTGAGAGCTCTCTGGGGATTGGAGGCTTTGGTTATCCAGCAATGGCAGCTGTTAATGCTCGGAAGATGAAATTTGCCCTTCTGAAAGGATCGTTCAGTGAGCAAGGGATTAATGAGTTTCTCAGGTATGAAATCTTTAAGTGACTTAAATGTTTCTGTAACTGGGGCTGAGACTGTTCAGACCAAAATCAGGCTCTCCTGGATCTGACAAGACTTGCACAGTTAAGAGAATTAAGAGGATGAGCATTCACTGGAGTAAGGGAATGATTTCAGTGGGAATTGCAACTACTAAAGCAGTCGCTACCTTTTTGTGGTGGACAGAATTAAGTAGCTGATCATTTAGACTTAAATGGTAGTTTTAGCACAACTTTTGAGAACAGAAGTGAGCTTTGATCGAGAAATTCTGGTTCTCTGGTAGCTCAAGAAATTAATGGGACTTGGTAATCAATACTAATTAATTCAAGTGGTGCACTCTGATTAGTAATTGGGAAGTTCCCAGTTTGGGAATCTAAACGGGTGCTGTTGAGGTTCTGTATGTTGCTGTTCATCTATTCCTGTCTTCCCCTTCCCCATTCCCCTGGCATCCAGTAAGCTAATCGGGAGAGCTGAAGCAATCCATCCAAAAAGTCAATAGCTCTCTGCTCAGCTCAAGTTCCCTGAAACTGCCGCTTGCGTAGTTGGGCAAGAGCCAGTGCTGAGAAGAATTGAATGGGGAAGGGAAATGGACAGGAGCATAGAAGGTGGCAGCAGCACTGAAACAGTGCAGTTAAACTGTTACTTTAAGCATGGTCAAAGTGAAGTGGGAACTCTGCTTCTGGATAAAACACCAGCTGCCATAAGGTATGTAAGAGCCTTTGAGAGCTTACATTAGCAGTGTTATTTCTATGTCCTTGCTTGGAGAATGTCAGAGGACAGTCAGAATTGCAAAAGTACAGCAGTCTCTTTTGCCACCTTGCCATAAGCAGCATGTTAATTCAACCCTGTTCCTGCTGGGTTAATGGAAACAGTGCTATATTCTCTTACCTGTGTAAGTGATCAGACTTTCTTCTTTATGCCAAAAAGGGAGTGTTCTCAGAGCATCAGCTAAAATTTAGGATTCAGATGCAGGAAGAGTAATACCAGGCAGTCTGTACTAATGCATGTGAGAGAAATGTTTGCCTTTTCTCAGACATGGCAAATTCCCTTAGTCTACAAAATCCATCTTAGTGAGGCCTTTCCTGGTAAGGGTGGATGGTGCTTCCAGGACACAACAGCCAACTTAACAGCTTATATTACATTAGATAATTGGTTTGGTATTGTCTTACTACACAGCAATACTTGCTAGAATAATCTCTTACCTGACACTTCAGTGCAGCTGTGCTGCCTAAAGAAAGCAGTAAAATCACAGTCAATGTAGCTGGCTGTTAACTCAGCTTGCTGTGTGCAGCTTTTGTAATTTAATAGACAGTCTCAACACTGTTGACCAAAAGTAAGGAAGTCGGCACTGAGACAAGCATAAAAATTCTAGACTCCATCTAATGAGGAATGCTGATGCAGTCTTATTTGCTTCTGAAAGAATGCAAAGGGATTAGCTCTTCAGGATTTTAATGTTAGGCTTTTTGAGCAAGCCTAACTAGCAAGTGCAAGATGGAGTGTCTCAAATACCTCATACCCATTGTAACCTGTGGAGGCTTAGCCTCCACTAAAAAAATCACTAGTAATTTCAAGTTAACAGTTGCAGGTGACTTTCAAAACTAGAATTACAGACTCCTTTTGGAGTTGTCTTAAGTGGTAAACATACTGTTAAAGGGGCTGTATTTATCCATGATTGTTACACTGCTGTCCTGGTTTCAGCTGGGATAGAGTTAACTGTCTTCCTAGTAGCTGGTACAGTGCTATGTTTTGAGTTCAGTATGTGAAGAATGTTGATAACACTGATGTCTTCAGTTGTTGCTAAGTAGTGTTTAGACTAAAGTCAAGGATTTTTCAGCTTCTCATGCCCAGCCAGCGAGAAAGCTGGACGGGCACAAGAACTTGGCACAGGACACAGCCAGGGCACCTGACCCAAACTGGCCAACAGTGTATTCCATACCATGTGGCGTCCCATCTAGTATAGGAACTGGGAAGTGGGGGGCGGGGAATCGCTGCTCGGGGACTAGCTGGGTGTCGGTCAGCAGGTGGTGAGTAATTGCCCTGTGCATCATTTGTACATTCCAATCCTTTTCTTACTACTGTTGTCATTTTATTAGTGTTATCATTATCATTATTAGTTTCTTCTTTTCTGTTCTATTAAACTGTTCTTATCTCAACCCACAAGTTTTACTTTTTCCCAATTTTCTCCCCCATCCTGCTGGATGGGGGGGAGTGAGTGAGCGGCTGCGTGGTGCTTAGTTGCTGGCTGGGGTTAAACCATGACAACTGCTGAAATACAAAATAGTGTAGCTCACATAGTTTGTCTCTTTGGATCTAGTTGTAAATCTGCAATGCTGCTTTAAGGGCTCTATCACTTTCTGCTTCTCAATTAGAAAAGCTTTTGCTTCTGGACAGTTTAGATTTGCTTCAAGAGATGACATCTCAAAGTTTACTTCCTTTTATGTGAAGTGGGTGCTGTTCCAGGTGGATGGAGACTGGAGAAACTTCTTAAATTTAACTTTAACTTGTTTTTTCTCAGGGAACTATCTGTTGGTCGTGGCTCTACAGCACCAGTGGGTGGTGGAGCTTTCCCTAAAATTCATTCAGTTGAACCTTGGGATGGCAAAGATGGTGAGGTAAGAGGTGCTCCATCTCTAAAAGTGCTGATGATTTGCTAGGTTCAGAAATGACTGCATAGATTAACTAAGAACTGGCAGTGTGAAAAATCTTGTTCTTTAAAGATCATGGCAAGTTGTGTTGACAGTTTCCCATTATTTAAATCCTGCCACCAGACCAAACACCAGATTCATCATCTGATGTTGTGGACAGGTACTCCTGCCTAGCTGTTAGGATGTAATCTGAAAGTTGAATCCCTTGAGGCTGAAATGTGTTATTACCTATGCTGAGTAAAGGAGGTGGTAGTGTATGCATTCAAGACCTGAATGTTGTGGAGACTTTGATTCTGCAAAATGCTGATATTACCGTCAAAGTCTTAATGTCAAAGTTTGTAAGATAAAGTCTGTGTAGTAAATAACACAGTGATTAAGTATGTTCTTAAGGTTCAACATTGCTGTAAAAAACAAAGTTACTACAATCCTTTGATCTACTTCAGATGGAATTAAAATATAGAATATGGTAGTAGTTTTGTTACATAGTTTATCTGTATTTGCCTTTATCTGGAGCATTTTTATTGGTAGAAAACAACCTTCTAGTCTAAACTCTGATCACTTGTCCTGTGCTAATACATTTGAGATTTCATGAAAGAGATGACAGGAGGGAGCTTTACTCTCAGGATGAAGTAAGCATCTTTCAAAGTTAGTGATGTCCTGGTGTTAAGCATTTCTAAATGTGTGCTTGAAACCTTCCCTTTTTCACAGCTTCCAGTTGAAGATGATATTGATCTCAGTGATGTGGATCTGGATGACTGGGATAAAGATGAGCTGTGATATCTTCAGGAAACTTCTTTTCTTGGGAGAGTTTGTGCAGTAGTTTGCAACCTGATTCACAATTGGATGGATATTCCAGTGGCCTTTTTATGGAGAAATAGCACCTGACACACTGTGCTATCTGATACACTGCAGCAGTGAACTGTACACATCTCAAGAAAACATTGCAGAAATTCTATGAATTGTCATAACCAGTAAACTTGATTGATTGTATTCTGTGTAACAAATATTTTGAGGACAACATGGATATTTCTTTGGAACATCTTGGTTTTTATTTTGTTGATAGTGTGCTGTTTGAGTGTTACTGGAGGCTGTTAATGTAACCAATTTTAAATGTGATATTTTTTTCATGGAGGTGGAACCTGGTCAGCTTCTGTTTCAATTAAAGAATAAAACAATTATTTTTGACACACAGCGTTAGTCTTGTATAGAGTAACAAAGGTGCACATGATAAAAGCTATCCAATTTTGGATGACTTTTGAAAAATGAACAGTAGAATAGAGGATGGTGCAGAGGGGAGTCCTGAACCACCCCCTTGCTGTGAATGATCTTGACAGTTTGGCCTAAAGCCTGATTAGACAGAGAATCTTGGTTTAAATGCTTTTCAGTCTTCCTATTCCTTCTCAGGGCCTTTCTCCTTCTTTGTGCCAGAATTTGTAAGATCATTAATACAATGGAAGTGGGGTTGCTGCTGCAATTGGAGACACTGGGAGCTGTTGGTCTTTTCCCCAGGATTAGTGATGAAGCTAATCCCTGTTTTAGGGCATGAGGACTTCCAGGTGCTAACAGAAAAACACCATGGTGCTGTCTCCAGCAAATTGGGTAATATTTCTTCACTTCCCATCTGGCATTGCTTTGATTTGAAATTGCTAGTTCCTTGGAAGGGGAATCAGGACTGGGAATGGGGATGGTTACTGCTGCTTTTTCTTTAATAAAAATACTACTATATTTTGTTGCTCTCCATGTCTTATGTACTGGTGTCTAGTGAAGTGATCAGCTTGTTTATAAGTAAGGAATGACAGAACTGAAAGTTTCCCCTCCTTTCAAGGAAATAACTTAATATGGGTATTTGTCATCTAGTATCTGTAAGAGATTGCCTGTAGCTCATACCTACGAAAGGCAGTGGAAGAACCACTGGTAGCCAACAGTAACTTGACTGCTGATTTGGTGCAGGAAATGTGCTCCAACTCTAAGTCATCCCAGCAGATGAGATCTAATGGAACTGTTCTAACTGAGATGTCTTGGCAAAAACTAAGCTTATGAGTACTTGGGACTACAAGTCATACTACAATAAGTTCCACAGCAATTTTCAGGATCTTTCTTCTTAAGCTTTTTTTAAATTTAAAACCTTTGGGTTTTGCTCTGATGCTTTCTACTTTTTTGGGGTTTTTTTAAGTTTGCTTTGTTAGAAAACCAGGACTGTGTACACCTAGCAGATCCATTAGCCACCACACTTTTTAAATTGTTTTATTTCAAGTCCAGTAGATATTCCATCTTTGTAACTTACCAAAAAAAATAAATACTACCATAGTACTTCCTGCCTCTGAAATATGTTTTTGTAAAACTATGAACAAGGGAGACTTATGTTGAAGTCACTTTGTAAATGTAAAAATTACTGGAAGGGGTAGGAAGATCTTATGCAATTATCCTGCTACAGCATCTGCATTTTAATTTGACTTTCAGTAGCTAAAGATTTTTTTACCGTAACATTAGGGTCTTGGAAAATTAATAGATGAAGCTTGAGCAATTTTTCTTTAACTGCAGTCAAGAAGACTGAGGTCAATCTTGAAATAGACATAAGGATAGTATTCTTGATTACTCAGTTGTAAACCAGGGATGTCCATGCCAGGCTGCAAAAGGAAACAATATGACTTTAGTACCAGTAAACAAACTTGCACAGTTCCAAGCTACAGCAGATTGCTTTTGTGCTCCTCTTCCACAGGTGGAATGGAGTTTTGTATCTGCTGTGCTTAAGATGGGGAATTTGCCACTGAGAATCTGGCATTTGCTTGGTATTTTCAGGCTACCTAATACAGTTAGCATTGAGAATTCATGCTTTGTTGCAACTTCATGAACATGTATTGTAGCATTTTTGTGTGCTTCGGCTCTAGAGCAACTAATTTCTTTCTCCTTTCTTCATGCACTGGGAATTTTGTGCTTGCTGGTTTAATGCCTAGTGGTTTATCCTAAATTGTTTGTACACTCAAGATATGCGGTGGGAGAAAGCAACTACTGCTTGCTGAAGGTCTAGATTGAGGTATTTAGTCAATGACAGCCTTTTACAGGGGATTGAGGTGTCAGAGTCCTAGCATTTAATTCTGCATTCATTTGTCTTGCTTGTGTTGATCTGAATGTTTATAGAAGAGTTGAAGCTTTTTACCTGGAGGAACTGCCATAATTGAGCAGACCTATTTCAGTCTGGTAGCTGTAAACATCAGCTGTTTTAACAGAAAACCTAAGCAATCTCTACGCATTTCCATCATCACCTGAGCCTACCTGTTACCCTAATCCAGTCTGTAACCACTGGAGGGATTAGAGGTGCATCCAGGGCTCCTCGCATTGCAAGATGTGAGGAGATGCATGCTCTAGCCCCTGGACCGTGAAAGTGTTAACATTTATCCAAGCTGAGACAAGCTAGAGCATGTGCACTTGCAGTCCAAATACATACGTCCATTATACTTGCTGCTGCAACTTCATCCAGGTGTTTGAAGACCACGTTTAGGACATCTCTGAGGCGTTTTACAGACTTCCTATTTGGCTGCAGCAGCATTGCTTGGAAATTCACTGGGAGGCCATACCTTGAAACACATCAACATACACAATCGTCTGCTGGGAAGGGGCACACCTTTCCGCTCCTGCCCTTCTCTCTCTCTCTCCTGGCATGCTAGCTGATGGTACATTGCAGAAACAATGTCAGTGGTGGTGTGCTGCCTCCTTATCTGAAAGCATTTTGGTTTTGAAGCTGAAAGTCAACTAAATGGTGTCTTTGTTTTCCACTTCCCTATAAGTGCCCCCAAAGAACTGTTCAACTTTGTACGTCACCTTTTTTGTGGTCATCTGTATTGTCTCCTGTTAGCTCCTGGAATTAGGTGTGTAAGGGATGTTCCCTCCCACAAAGAAACTGCTCCAGCTGTGGATTTTGACTTCTGTAGGAATGTCTGCCAGCGCTGCGTGTTTACCCACTTACCTCAGGACAGATTCAACAAAAACTCTCAAGGCTTTCACGTGAATCCAAGCCACAAATGCTTCGCTGAAGTTTACTTTCAGCCAGCGCAGTAACGGGCCCTATGAGAACAGATACAACAGTATTGTGATCCCCTTGCTGTGTGAAGCAGCTCCATAGCTAACACCACTGAATCCATCACGGGCTGCTGAGATAATTCTCAGGCAGCCTGTTAGTGGCTCCCAGTTTATCAGAAACTCAAGTGACCTTGGGCAAATTGTGTTATCTATCCTGTGCCTCAGTTTTCTGAGCTAAATGGAGCTCACAGGAGTCTGTTGGAACCATAAAGCCATTTCTGAGAAGTGCTTAGGCGCACTGGTAGCAGAGGCTGTCATTATGTAGGCCATCAACTTCATGTGCTACTTACATATTGTTGTTTCTTATCGGAAGCTAATTTCATCAGCTCTTCCTTCTCACATTTCAGTTCCTTCTCATCAAAATAAAACTCTCGAACCATGAACCTACAATTGAATGACATTTGCTCTCACAAGCCATAGTCCAAGCAATACGCACACTCATTTCTTTTGTTTCTGGAGAAGTGGGTACAGGATGTTTCAAAGTTGCTAGCCATTTAACCAGATCAGGTATGTGGAGGGTGGGAGTTGAAGTCACCCACAGAAAGCAAGCTTCCTGCTGTCAGTAGCATGAGAGCGGGAAGGACAATTCCAGGATCTGTAGTCTGGTCCTTAAAGAACAGGATTGCTGCTGTATCTACTGCCACAGCTCCTTCCACCCTGCCTTCTCATGGCTTTAGGACCAGCAGCAGCCCAAACAGTAAACAAGTCCTGAAAACCAGTGATGGATTCAGCTGTACTGCACACAGAACAAGCCTCGCCTTACACCTGCTTGCTAGCCTGTGCTGCCTAGCAATTGGTGCTTCTTACCTGTTCTCCCTGGCTTTAGCCTTGAAGTCATCCATCACTTTTCTAAATAGGGTCACAGTGAAGAGTCCTCCCTCTGCATCCTCAGCAATCATTCTGTGAGAGGGAAATCCACTGCTGTGATTTGACATGGCAAATCCCTCATACCTTCTTTACCACCTTCTTTTGCAGTTCTTTTTTTCATTTATCATACTAAACAACACCCTGCTTTTCAAGAACTGCTGTGACTGAAATAGGGAGCTTAAGTCTTTACTAAAACACTGGCTATGCTATCTCAAGTGTAAAACTCCCATGAATTAAGTTCCTGAACCCATCGTAGTACACGCACATTCTGCCTGTCTGATTTTACTGTGTTTCCTGGTAACATTCCCCCACTTTCCATGCACTTCTGTTTTTTGAGACAGGTAGTAGGAAACAGCTTTCTTCTTTCTCTGTGCTTTTCACTTCTTCCATTTCAGATAATAGCAGTCACCTCTTGTGCCCTGGATTGGACCTCATGGTGTGCATGAACTGAGCAGTGGAATATATAATTCCCGGGAAGGATTTTTTAGTCCAGGTGACAGGATAAGTTAATATGGCATTTGCTAATGCAAATGACAGTACAGTGAATTACCCTATTCTACAGCAGGAAGCAATTAAAGATGCAAATACAGTGTTTGATCTTTGTCAAAAGTAGTTTTCATAGAGTTGTATGTGATTGCATGTGGCTGAATGTCCTGTGTTCAGCTGAGATAATTTTCACAGGAACCTGGGAGGGGAAACCAGGAGACTGAATTATGCCTGGATTACTGTAACAAATTGTGTGTTTTACACAAAAAGCAAAGGCCCTGGTTGAAAGTAGAAAGAACTAGATTACTGGAAAAGGGAACAACAAGCTAATTGTAAAAAAAAAGTAATGATTTTTTTTTTTCCTTTCATCTGCACTTCCCTTCAAGAGGGTAATTTCTGATTTCAATTGAGAATGAGATTAGGCAAATCTATATGTTAACATGGAGCCCATGGGTTACACAAGTGGTTCCTTCCAGGATCCAGCAATTTCAGGGGCTGAAATATGGCAGGGATGTCTGAAACAAACAGGGACCTTAATTTGGAATTTCACTTACTTGGTGGAGCGAGGCACTACCATATCGGAGAGGGATTCATAGGTCTTCTGCCACTGTACATAGCTTGACCTTTGAGCAACACAAAAAAAGCACAGTAAATAAATACTACATACCAGAAAGCAAATGTGTTGATAAATAATTAAGCTAACGGCTTAGGATAGAAGGGTTGGAGCTCATTGTGCTGGTTATGTGATTAAGATACATTAAGCCTCTCCTATCCTTTCCTCTCCTAGTCACCAGCTAGGGAGATGTTTCCCTCAACACTGCAATCCTCACTTTGGGTCTTGGCATGAGGAAGGGCCCAGAGCAGGAAGCTGATGGTGGGAAGGATGTGGCTTTTGGCACATACTTCCAGGCTGCCACACAGCATCCCATGCTCCAGGACCCCTGCACAAGCTGCCCCTGATCCATGGTAGGTGTGGTACATCTGCTATCCGCAATCCCAGAGCTGATCAGTGCAAACAAGGTAAGTGCCAGCGCTGGGAGAAAGGGGTCAAGGGCATGGTAAGAGTTTGCAAAGCAAGAAGCCTGTTTATAGGGGGAATCTGAAAGAGTGTGCAGATAATAAACTCAACAAACTTACCTCAGATAGCTTTTTGTAACATGGTTTTCAGACAAAATAGTGATGGTACTGTATGTGTATCTTGGGACAGAGCTATACGGAGAGGAAAAGTTTTGTGTAGGCTTCTGGGAAGGATGTTGCATAACTTCACAACTGATGGTGATGGCAGTCATCCTACTTGCAGGCATTTACGAACACACAGCCAGCAGAGGCCTTGTGAGCTTGACAGGTCTAATTCCTTTTATAAACTGGCTAAGCTCCAGTAAGAATCTGGTTTTCTCTTTTTTTTAACTCATACTATTCCTACCAGGAGGCCGTTTGAGAATGCACTCTGTAACCATTAAAAACCTGCATCCCAATTCTGTCCTGCTCCAAGTTCAGAGCAGTCTTTGTCTCTTTCTTTCGTGCCAGCACCACCCTTGGCAGAAAATGTTCTTTCCTCTTTGCTAACCGCTCCACCCGTGCCCCAGTCAGGGTGCTGATGGGCTGCCCCAACCTCATCCAGTATTGCCTGGATCCAGTGCTTAGGCCTGAAACTCAATGCCACATTGAGCGTGTGTGCACGCACTATTGCCTTACTTTGGCACCACAACGAGCAGCGTGATAAGATACTCGGAATTCAGAACAAAGTCTTCTTTATGCACAATGTCTGCTAGGGTCCGAGTCAGCAGATTTCCCCTACGGTGAAGAAGACAAAGGAAAAATAACATTAGCAGGAACCCAGCAGCAGCACACTGGAGGTATTGTGCTGTGGTTATAGTTGCTAATAGTACATACTGGGGTAGAAGGCGACCAGGAAGGAGGTGGCTAAAGGACACGTCTACACTTCTAAAATGGCTATTTAGTTATTTTTACTGCAACTAAAAAGAATAAAAAAGGAACTACTACTAATGGCAGAATATTGGTGACTAGCTAGTTTATGCCCTTTATGTGAAATTACACCATTCTGCTGCTATTGTTTCTACATTAAGGGTGTAGATGCTTGGGAAGCGCACATCTGAAGTTACCATCCCACTCCTGGTCATCGCTGCATCTTGCAGGAGGCACCTGCCTTCTCAGGCTGCCTGTTGAGCTGCCTGTGTGACCGTGCTTCAGTCAGAGTAAGCAATGTTAGTATGGACTGAAGCCATCAAAGCAACCCTGGCACACCTGGACTGCCACGGACAAGTGGGAGCAGCAGTCTGGTATGCACGTGGGACCTGCAGGAGGTGGTCTCTTCACAGCAGGAGCCCACTTGATCACATTGAGTCCTACTACTGCTGCACACTCAGGAAGTGTAGGCGGCTGGGGCTGGCCGGGCATGGCTGGTAGGCACTAGGTGTGTGTGGGAAGAGAGCAGCTGCCCTCCCTGTGGCAGGGCAGGAGTGAAAAAGGACCTAAACCAGTAGGTTTTGGTTTGAGGTTCTCTGTCCCAGTCTAAACACTAATTAACTGGCCGGTAACATCTTATTAGATGTTTGTTCAAGCCAAGCTAGCTGGCACTGGTAGTCACCAGAGAAGCCAGCATTTAAAGGTGGATGGGAGGGTGAGAGGACAATAGACCTGGACCACAAGGTCTCCGTTCCTCTCCCTCATCACCTTGCTGGAGGCCTGGCACTTCTCATGTTCCCCACACAGAGCTTCTTCCTCTCTCCAGGTGCTTAAAGCTGACATGGAAGCTGGAGAGATGCTGCAAGAGTGGGTTGGGAATACAAATGGTGCCAAGAAAAGAGAAATGGGAGCTAACGTCCCCTTGTCCCTCCTGCCCATGATTATCCACATGCACGCAGCCTGAGACAAACATGTCTAAGACTGTCTATGTCAAGCTGGAAGCACAGGCCAGTGGTGCTGGCTGGCGGTGGTGAGGCATGGACACAGGAACTCAGCAGAGAGAGAGGGAGATGTAACTGTGACCTGGCTCTGCTGACCCTCGTGGGCACTGCAGTCCCCATGTTGAGCAGGTCACCATAAGGGATAGCGGGCTTTTTGACAAACTCATTCTGAACCACCACCTGGAAGTATTTTTTTCTGTGGTTTCTCCTTGGGTTCAGTGGAGTTGGTGCCAGGCATGCTCATTTTAGCTCCACAGTCAGAGCGAAATTCAAGCCACTCTGGACTTTGGTGTGAGCCTCTGTGACTATCTGCCTTGGGTAAAGGCTGGTTTCTAGGGAGGCTGCCAGCCTGTCTGGCTGCAGTGCCAGGAATCATAGAATCATAGAATGGTTTAGGTTGGAAGGGATGTTAAAGATCATCTAGTTCCACCCCCCCTGCCATGGGCAGGGACACCTTCCACTAGACCAGGTTGCTCAAAGCCCCATCCAACCTGGCCTTGGACACTTCCAGGGACAGGGAATCCACAGCCTCTCTGGGCAACCTGTTCCACTGCCTCACCACCCTCACAGTAAAGAACTTCTTCCTTACATCTAATCTAAACCTACCTTCTTTCAGTTTAAAGCCATTACCCCTTGTCCTATCACTCCATGCCCTTGTAAAAAGTCCCTCTCTGGCTTTCTTGCGGGCCCCCTTTAAGTACTGAAAGGCTGCAGTAAGGTCTCCCTGGAGCCTTCTCTTCTCCACGCTGAACAACCCCACCTCTCTCAGCCTGTTCTCACAGGAGAGGTGTTCCATCCCTCTGATCATTTTTGTGGCCCTCCTCTGGACCTGCTCCAACAGGTCCATGTCTTTCTTACTTTGGAGGCCCCAGAACTGAACACAGGACTGCAGATGGGGTCTCACCAGAGCGGAGCAGAGGGGCAGAATCACCTCCCTCGACCTGCTGGCCACGCTGCTTTTGATGCAGCTCAGGATATGGTTGGCTTTCTGGGCTGCAAGTGCACATTGCTGGCTCATATACAGTTTTTCATCCACTAATACCCCCAAGTCCTTCTCCGCAGGGCTGCTCTCAATCCACTCATCACCCACCCTGTATTTGTGGAAGGCAAGGACCTGTGTCCTGTGCCCAGAGCAAAGGGCCTGAGTAGGAAAGAGTGGCACATATGAGCATGTGTTGGGCAAGGGCTTGCACAGCATCATCTAAGTTGCTTTAAATTTACTACTTACTGGAATTTACTATTCTCCCCAGTGATACCCTGGAAAAAAATCCAGGTATCAGCACTGACATAAGTAAAGACCACAAGCAGTTGAAGACAGGAGAGAGAACATTTGGGGACCCCTGACAAGGCATTACCTGGACCAACATAATGGGACAAAGAAAAGAAAAAAGTAAGTGGGATGCTGGTGAGGTGCGGCAACAAGCAAGACAGAGCTGTTTCCTATGGGAGCTCTGCAAATGCTGTTCAGAACATAGGAAACAGTTCTGTCCTGCAAAGGAATCCACCAGCTGACCCAGCTCATCTAATTTCTGAATCCCTGAAATCTCATCAGAACAGTAGAGCGCATTTGGTTTTGACTCTTTCCAAGACTGTCTGCTCACACTGCCAATAAAATCATATTAGGAACTGCAGTCTCCCTGAGCTGATTTTGAGACATGCTGATCACACCAGCTCCCCGCCTCCAGCTTTCACTGGGTCTGTAGATGCTCAGCATGCCCCAAAGCCAGAAAAATTTGTTCCCACCAGAACACACATGGTCCACCGGACAGCAACGGTGCGAGCACTGTCCTCAGTTCAGCCATGTAGCATTCCAGATGCAAACAGGCATGTGCTACTTACACAGTTTTTTTCTCCAGGCTTTGCAAATTTCCTTTAATGTTGTTGTATGCAGCTGATCGTGTCTTTAGGTCTGTTTCTATCTGAGTCACTTGCTATAACAAAGTAAAAAAAGAAGTCAGTCAACTCAGTGCTTGAGGCATTGTCCTTGCCCCCCTCTCACTACCTCTGCACCTTAACACAGCAGTCAGCCCCTTGTAAAACCACCCGATTGTGGCCAAGAAGGAGCCGGTGTCAGAGCTCCCCTGGGGCAAAGGCAGAAGAGTAGGATTCAGTTAGCTGTTGCTTTGTGTGTTATAGCTGTACCTAAGGAGCAAGCTCATGGTTTCTTTTGTTATCTATACTGAACAACACATCATGCCTTTCTTTATGGACTGACTTTGTAAATAATTCATCCAGACTGCAATGGGTTTGCTTTAATGTCAGGCCAATAATTTCACAAAAGCACTCCAAAATGGAGAATAATATGGCAGTATATAAAACCAATAAAATACTACAATGAAGGGGATTAAAGTGCAGAAAGCATGTCAATGTACCCAAGTAAATCTGATAAAGTGCCATATACTTACAGACTGGATAGGTTTAAATATATGTACCATTATTATTACAGTAGAAATTAAAGTAATATCAACTGCTTCAGTACAAAGTGTGTGCTTCTGAGCCTGTTCCTGCCCAAACCAAAGGCAAAGCTCTCACTGACTGCCATGAGAGACCAAAAACTGCCAAAAGATATGCTTCCCCATGCTGATGTCTTAAAATTTGGAGTACAATTTACCTTTGCTAATGCTTCTGATATATTCTTCAGCGGCTGCTTTATGGGATATTTGGCCATGTCCCACTCAAACCGTGTCAGGTAGCTAATTAGGTCAACTGAAAATGCAAAGAGATGCATGAAAGCAGATAGCTTACCAGATGGCAGGTCAAAGTTTGGGTAGTAGTCCCCAGCTATAGCCTAGGCATAACTTTGGCTGACATTAGAGACAGGAGTGAACCAAAAGCCCACCTCTGAATCCTCATAGAAATTTGATCTAGATGAAATCCACACAGATCATATGCCCAACCTAATCATCTTTCTAAACATCCCCAAACATAGAAGCTGAAACAGAAATCTTTTCTGCATTACACCTAACAGTGTAGAACAAGCATTACTGTAAAATTAGCTGTATCAGCAGGACACAGCAACATGCAGCCAATCCTCACAGTAGAAACAGCTTCTCAGTGTAATCTCAATCTTGATTATTGCAATACACCTGGATTTAATCCCAGCAAGAGCTACCAGAAAAATACTTTGTGCCCAGGACCAGCAGTAATACTCAGGATTGTTGAGAGTTTGATCAAAGGTATTAAGAGCGTAGCTGACGTCATTTCTCTGTGATTCAGTCAAGCGCTCACTAGAAATCAAACAAATTCAGGTGCAATGAGGAATTCCTCATTGACTTTGCACACAGAGCTCCCCATCTCGCACAAAGCTATACGGTATTTCTCTAAATGGATAAATCCAGTCACAACAACAGAAATTCACAGCAAGGCCCCGTGCATGCAGCCCCCCAAAACAAGGCACACTTGGACCGCAGGGAGCCATGGCTTCTGCCCAGAATTGAGGGGAGATGACACATATGACACCCAGCTCCTAGAATAGGATCATGCCATTTCACTCTGAAGACCAAGGCTCCTTAACATTAGAAAACATTAAGGCTTGGTACATTATGGTACCAAAGAGGGAATTCTTGTCTAGCAGCTCATGAAATCAGACAGCTCTCTGCCTGAGTCTTGAGAGCCCTTAGGATGCCAAACACACCCCTACATAGTGTTCTTGGGCAACTCTATGGGATGGGATAAAGTCATGCATGCTGCCACAACAAGCAGAGGGGCTGGGACTGTCTCCCTGCAGGTTAGGGAGGCTAGAGGAAGGCAGCAGGCAGGGTCTCCATGTCTAGACAAAGAGGCCAGAGGAACGGGCATCTGCAGGGTGCGCTTCCTTCCAGACCAGAAGGGTAAACATGGAGAATATCTGGGAAGTTGCTCTGGGGAGATGGGGAGAAAAACAAGCTCAAGGTGCCAAGGAGGGGCATGCCGGGGCATGTTCAGTGCTCTTTGCTGCCTTGTCCAGACAATTAATTCAGTCCCATAGCGAGGTTTGAACACAATTTCTTGTGGGCTGGACTTCCAGGGTGTGGGGAAAACTTTATGAACCAAGATGCATGAGAAGGAACGTGAAAAGTTGTATAATTGCCATACTACCAAGCTGAGGGTTCTACCCTGTGATACCGAATACCCTTGGCAGGGGAGCATTATCCTTTCCATGGGCTTCTCTCATTCCTCAACAGAGTCAGTTTACCCTATTAGATTTCCAAAGCATGGAAAGTCTTATGTTAGGAGGAAACAGGCTTCTTAGCAAGGGATAAACTGCCTGGGAGGCAGAGAGCACTGGCATGATGGTGTTCTCCCCCTTTCTAAAACCACAGCTGTGTAAACCTCCCCCCCATCCAATGGACAGGACTCATGAGGCAAAGATCCAACCCTTCCTGCTAAGGTCTGACTGGGAATCAGCAAATTCCCCTGCACAGGCAGGGTACCGAACGGAGGCAAAACTGCAGCAGGCAGGGAGAGCTATCACACAGCTCCTGTGTGTGCAGTTCTCCAGCAGTGCTTGCTCATGGTCTCTGTGGGGGAAGGCAGGGAGGTCAAAAATATTTGAGCGACAAAATTCTTTTTCAGCATGGGGTACGCGACAAGGATTTCATCCCGCTGCCTCTCTTCCAAGCTTTCTTGCTTAGGCTTTGCTAAATTCAGTGGGACTGAAACCTGCAAAGAGCATGGTATTACTGGGCTGTGTGGAGGAACAGTGTATTCACAGGCTCTTTAAAGACAGGCACTGACCTGTTTATAGTTGAGGAGATATGAAAGTTCCCTGGAGACCTACACATGCCCCTTCTATCCTCACATTCCTTGAATCTCAGCAGAATTCAAATGTCAGGCAGTTAAGCACAGCATACGTTCTCAGCCTGTTTTACAAGTTCACTCCTGAGCAGTGCTCTGGCACTGGTGCAGTTTAGTTAAGCAGCCTGATCTTGGGGATGGCACAAACTACTGTGAACACACTAGCAGAACTGAGCTTAAAATGCCAAGTAGTCCAAGCACCCTGATGCTCCTGGAATGGCACTCCTCATTTATGGAACCTGTAAAGTCAATTCTAAAAGACTTCAGATAGCTGCCCATCCAGGAGATGCTTCCTACCTACCCCAATGTGCTCACAGCTGCCCAGGAACCCCACAGCCTGAGTATCTCATAACTCTAATTTATTCACCTAGCTCTAAGAGGCAAAGTTAAATACTTCCCCTTCAAAACGCTTAATTCTTCAAAATTGTTATGCTTGCCATTTTGCTTTGTTTTGAGCTCATTATAAAGAATGAAGTTATTCCACCACTTACCAAATTTTAAAATTCATTTGGGTTTAATGTTACTGTAAATGGAAGAGAGTTGTGTCCAAATCTTTAAAGAAAAGGTTTACTTACATTTCACATTTCTTATTCTGTCATAAGCAATAAAGTATTTCCTGCTGTTTTAATATACTAAAATTCCCTTTATTACACAAACACACATTACCCTCTATAAGAGAGACATCTCCACATGGCTGCTTCCAAGTGGTGCCTGCTGGAAAGTAATGTGTGTGTTCACTTAACTAAAAGTGCTGTATCTTCTAGTACTTTGTATTTTTCTTCATGTAAATCTAACCATACAATTGTTAGACACACAGCTACCACCTTCATCAGTTCATGGACCAAACTGCTGTCAGGATTATATACAAATGAGCTAAAATCAGAAAACTTGTAGAGTGCAACTTAAAACAAAGTTTGAGTTGGGACAGACTAATGGTCAAACAGGATGATGCAGCAAGAAGTCATGTCTTATAATTTTGTTTCTGATTTCACAGCCTCAAGGAAGTCTTCAACATAAGGTCCTTTTGCTAACCAGAAAGGGGAGGAGGAAGAATTAGCACAGCAAAGTTGCTGCTGCTTATGAAGAATGACACTGGAATATATTAAGGGAATTCTCATATACTAAAGCTGACTCAATTTTTTAAGATGCAGTCAATAAACTTGGAAAAGTTAATGTCTTAGTTTAATATGATTTGTTTGGGTGACCAAATCCAGACAGAGGACAGAAATTAGTAACACATACAAGTAATTTCCACATCCTTCTATTACAACACATGCAGAGCTGATAGGAAAGGAAAATGGTGTAAAAAGAGGAAACAAAGGAAATAAGTGAAACCTGTTGTTTCTCAAGTCATAGGGATATCGTGATCAAGCTACGAGGTTGTTACTTGAGAAATCCATCGTAACCTGATCACTGTATCTCTACAACCAGACCAAGACTTGTCTCTAGCACTAATACACACAAATGCATGCTTGTAACACCACAATCATCAATCCTCAACATACTTTTGAGACATTTCATTTTATCCTTTAGCCCTGAAATACAGTAAGTGGGATTATTGTACTTGTCAAGCAGTTGCACTCATCAAATGTCAGTCATATGTCATGCAAGGAAGACATTTCTAAAAGAACTTCCTCCCCATCCTTTACTCATACATTTCTGAAGTACAACATTGCAGGCAGTCAAAGGGTGATGGAGTGTGCACTTTTAGTTTTTTTAAAAGTGTCATTCTACAAGCCTGTAATTAGCATGTGTAACACATCCAGTTTTGTTGTACTTTGCCAGGAGAGCTGGGGAGGAATTTGCTTTGAAACACACTCAGGGTCTAATGACCTAGGAGCCATCAGTTTCTAAAGGTTAATTTTGTCCTTGACACAGGCTCCCTTTAGGGCCTTGACTACCATGGTAGATAATAAAGAGGGAAAATTAGTTCATGGAAGTTATAAAAACACCACATTGACTACTTAGAGATGGTGTAGGGGAGCGTGGCGTGTCCAAAGTGCGCCTATTGTCACTGCCTGCTCTTCTTTGCTACCCAACTCCTGCCAGCCAGGGCAGAACACCACCGGAGGGCATTTCTTCCTAACTGGAGCAGCACAAGCACGTCCTGCCAGCCCCTGGAACAACCTTGTGAGTGCAGCCCCAGCTTCATGTTTTGGAGCTGTTGCCTCACATGTCCACCCGTGATGTCAGAAATCCAGTTAACAATGCGATCTATCCCAGCACTGTAGGAGGGAAGGCAAATCACTAACAGATCACTGACAGATGTCATGCAGCCATACGGAATGAGATTTAGCTGCCTGTAAGAGATCCAGCCCATACAGGGCACAGGGCTAGGTCATTTTAGGAGTGAAGAAGGATGTCTCCTGCTTTCCTCTTCACTCCTCAGCTCTGGTATTAGAAACTAGTTCAGTACCAGATGCTGAACACTGTCCTGGAAGCAAAGCTGGTGCTGGATAAAGCTTCTGCTAACTTTGAGAAAAATGGGAACAGGCTAGATGTGTTCTCAAAAAATGTTGCTGATGGTTGTCCTTTCTAGTATGTGAGTGTTTCAATTCCACATGTTCATATTCTGACGCAAACAAAGGCAGCAGCAATGCATTAAAAAAACCCACATTCACAGAACCTACCTCCATTGGCCAGAAGATTTTCCTGGACTTTATCTTTTGAGTCCTCCATAACTTCTCCTATGTACTGGGCTATTTTCTTTATTACGCTTAGGTGTAACAAGAGAAGCTTTGTTAGTGAAGAAACAAAATGCATATCAAACAGTTGCCACAATAATCTGATAAACATGGAGATGCCCAAACAAAACACTTCTGAAGCAGGGCAGCTTAATTTACAATTCAAATGATAATGAACAATCTATGGCATATTGCAGAACTAAATGCCTTATTTCTGAATACACTGATCTCCGCAAACACATAGGTAATATCATCTCCCCGGTGCTTTAGACTTGCAGAAGATCAAGATTCAGTCTTCTATATACTCAGGATACTCATAGCAGAAACCCATGGCAAGAAGGCGGCAGGAAACCCATGTTTAAAACTCCAAAGGTGATGGAGGAAAAAGAAGCTACATACAGACAACATTGGCTGAAAATCTGTTTCATGGGATGCTAAATAAACCCTTAGGGCTTGCTGAGATAAGGTTCTTACAAAGTACTCAGGGGAAAATGACAATGTTCTCTTGTTTGACAGGAAGAATTTCTTTCTTATTTCTCTTTAGGGAACTCCTCTCTTTAGCATGCTGGACAAGACACTCCTTTAAGATGTGGAAGAACTAGATTCAAATCCTCCCTCTGCCCAATTCAGAGCAGTGATTTGAACAGAGCCCTTTCTGGAGAACATTGTCTCCATGTAGTTATTTATTCTTTGCTTATTTTAAAAAATGGATTCATTGAGTCTCTCCAGCAGTAGATTCCCCTGGCTCTAGTCAAAGTACCTACCTCATACAGGTCAAGAGCCTTTCTGGTTGTTCTAGTATCCTTCTGTACTGAGAAATATTCACAGAATTTGGCCTTTAGTTCCCTAACCGCTCCAGGCTCACTACACATTGTTAAAAAAAAAAACCAAAAAAAAGCAACTGCTAAAAAGTAACTGCCTGATCACGAAATTGGCAGAGACATGAAGTGGACATAATCCTTTGTGTGATGACAGGGAGTGGAGCATAATGGCAGGCTTCTTCTCCCTGTCCTTCCTTACAGAGGGGAGACTACTACAGCTGCAGATTTGCTGAAGACTGAAAGGGCACCTACAGTGTTTGGACAATGCGTCTTGTGACATCCTGTGTCTTTCAAGAGCTCAGGAAAGGGACATCAGGCCAGGTACAGATACCATGAAAGCATTAGAGAAAAGGATTTTCTTCGATGTGCTACAAAGCAGTTATACAGGCCATTTAAAAGCAATAATTCATAGAGGTAAAGATTCCCTCTATCTCCACTCCTGTGAAGAAACCTACAGTCTTTGGAAAGGTTTTCCTGTCCTGTGACAGGGAGGAAAAATCTGAGATTGCTGATGCTGCCAAGAATGCAGTAGTCAGAATTCCTGCTGTTTGGGGTCATTTAGCCTAGACAAGAGAAGACGGTATTGCAGCATTTCAGTATATAAAGGGGCCTTATAAGAAAGATGGAGAGAGACTTTTTACCAGCACCTGTAGTGACAGGACAAAAGGCAACAGTTTTAAACTGAAAGAGTGTAGATTTAGATTGGACGTGAAGAAGGAGTTCTTTACTGTGAGGGTGGTGAGGCACTGGAACAGGTTGCACAGAGAGGTTGTGGATGCCCCATCCCTGGAAGTGTTCAAGGCCAGGTTGGATGGGTCTTTGAGCAACCTGGTCTAGAGGAAGGTGTCCCTGCCCATGGCAGGGGGGTTGGAACTAGATGATCTTTAAAGGTCCCTTCCAACCCAAACCATTTGTCTCATGACCCCGGACAGGCGCAGTTCAGAGTGCCTGTAGGAGGAATCTACACCACTGTACTCTAGTTCACATCCCTTTCTCAGGACTGCCACAGTTTTTCACCATCTGGCTGCAGCCACTTAGGGACCCAGTCCCAGCTGAGTGTTGGTGGAGTACAGCGTGTGTTGCCCACACTCAGGCTGCGGGGAGGGTGTAGGGATCCACACAACAGTTCCCCATCAGCTGCAACCTTGCCAAGCACTTTGGCAATTTTCAGCTTGTAGATACAGCTGGTTTTTGGCTCCTTCACAATGCTCAGGGAGCCCAAAGGAACTTGGAGCAAGGCAGGACTTCAGCCCAGTTAGTAAGAACAGTATAGCAGGAGGCTAAAGACATTACAGAGAAGGCAGCCATCAGGAAAGTGTATAAACCAGTAGCTTTTCCAAGGAGCCTGAGCTGCTTTCATTAGCATTGAGTGCAGCTGGTGGCTAACCTGATAGCTGGGAGACAGTTACCTCTGGTCTCTCTCCATAGGTATAGATGGTGAGACCGGTATGTACTCTCATGTACCCAACAGTCCTAGCTGCCCAGGTGAGGCTTGGTTACCTTCCAGCCCACACGCCCCAAGGTCCCTGCAGCAAGACACAGCCAGAATGTATGTATACACTGGGCCAGAGAAATGTTGTCCAGTTCTGGCCTAGTCTCTGTGCCTTGCCTTGCATCCCATGAAATGCAAGTGGGATTCACTCATCCAGTACATTCCCCATGCAAAGACAGAACATGCACCTTGCGTACCACTGATGTCTGAGGCAAGCGAGAGGAATCAGACCCCCAGAGGAGCCCCATTGACTATAGTGACATCCAACAACAAGCAGCTTTCACATCCAACCCTTAAACCTCTGCCTTTAGGTGAGATGAATCCCACCTTAAGCAAATCTCATGCTCAAATGATGCATTATAAAAGGAGAGGGTTTCAGCTAAACTGCCTCGAGAAGTAGTAATAAAAACCTGTAAAGAGAGTAACTCCATTTAGCCTATTATTATGGCTTGGAAGACTCTCACATTTTGCTTCTGAAATTGCTGCAATGCCATTCCTTTAACACACACACACACACACACACAAAAAGTCTGACACTCTTTAAATGATACTGTGTATTAAAGGGTGCTACCAGCTAGACCTCCAAAATACTGCAGGGAGCAGAAGCCCTGCAATCTGAGGCCGCTGCAGAATGTTGCGCTGACCAAGGACCTGGGAGAACCCCCAGGTAAGAGTGACCGAGGGGACTGTCAGCTTGAGAGAGCTCCATGCTACCACACGGTGACATGGAAAAACACTCTGCCTCCCTGCGTAAATAAATAATAAAAGTATGTGGAAACAATAGATCCTGCAAACTCTTGCCCCTTCTCTGCTGTCCTGGCCGGAGGCAGCGCTGACAGGTTTGCACTGCCTGGCCTTACTGGCAGCTGTGTTTATCTAACAACAGTTCAGCAGGTAGCTGTTTCAGAGGAGCAGGAATCTAAATGCTCAGGTCATTTGTACAGGCTTGTAACCCTCTGGATGCCATTTACTTCAACGAAGTCCGAGTGCTTGGCGTTTTAACCCTTGAATCACAATTTAGACTCAAAACCCTGGGCATTTATTTAACGCAAAATGCTTTTGTATGTCCATGTGGGACTTGATCTGCTAATACATGTGTTGATTATTCTCTGTTATTACTCTATTCTAATGCATTTTTCATATTTTTAAATCTTGTTGATCCTTCTTGGTTACCTAGCTTGATAGGCAAATGAGACAAATAGGAAGAGTCCTTACCTCAGCAGGTCATGGTGGAAGGGCCTCACAGACCCCTTTGCTCAGTGCCTATAGCATGTCATACAGTAAGAGTCATTACTGGCATTAAATGGACTGTTAGTGGAGTAAAGTGGCATTCAGCTTGAACAAGGATCTGTACCATGTTGTCGAGTTAAGTCAAACGTAACAGAAGGAGCCAGTGAGCCTAGGGAGCTCATACTGACATTGCACTTAAAACTACCCTCCATGATCTTACATGGATCCTACGGGCAGCTTTTCAGAAGTTGTAATTCTTCACAAAGCTGGGAATTAGTTCAGCCCTTCTGAAAATCAGTTCTGCATGACTTTTGGCAGCCCTCAAACCCAGATCACACAGTTGCTTGCCTGTCTGCTGCCCTGACTAGAGACACCTTCCTTGAGAACAGATAGCAGGTATTGGCACTGTCTCTCCCCAAATTTGCCCCCATTCCTACTTCATGAAGAATCTCTGCAGTAGGAACCAGAGGCCTGAACGTGTTTACAAAGAATTTGGGGCAGTTGTTTTTTGGCAGGGTCACAATGAAGAAGGTTTTCTTGATGAATTAAGTTGCTCTGTCCTACTAAAAATCCTGAAAAAAGGGATATGGTTTAGTTTTAGGTAGTCCCGTGAGAAGCCGAGTTGGACTCAATGATCCTTATGGGTCCTTTCCAACTCAAGATACTCAATGATTCTAAAAAGATCAACGTTGTGTGCAACCCAGAGTGATCAAATGTAATCATCCTAATACAGCCTTGCTGTCACACCAGTGAAGTGTAAAAAAAAAACAAACCAAAAAACCTATGGACAAATGTATTCTAGAAGACTTACTCTTACCCAAACTGCCTAGCTTACATGTAAACAGTTTACATCAATGTTTCTGTATGTGTTTGCCAGACAAAATCTATGGAAGTATCAAGCATATTTAGACAAGCAAATCCTTATTAGTCCCAGCTGAGGGGAAAAAAGGCAAAAAGCCCCAGAGCTAACACATGCCTCTGTGAACAAGACCACAACTATACGTGAGGTATGTTTCCAAAGCAAAAAAGAACCCCCCCCCCAAAACCCAGCAGCTTATACTTTCATTGCCTCAACAACAAAGTCTACTTTGTGCCATGAAGTATCTTACAACCTGGCATTTTCTCAGCTTGCTGTACTATATTATTCTTTGTACACCCAGGTCAGTTTGGCCCAAAAGGGACACTGGGCAATGATCATCAAGGAGATCATGTGAGCCTTTGCATAAGTAGGTTTGATACAATGTGAGTCAATATTTTGATTTTCAAGGAGTTTAAAAGCCTGAGAGGGAGAGCTCTGGGTTTCATTCAGAAGAACTTATTCCTTAGAACTCCTATATCTGGTTGAAAAGGGGCAGAAGGCTCAATAGAAATATTCTGGGAAAATAAGATTTGGGAGGGCTTCATATTCTTTAAATGCTGTTTTATTAATTTAAGTTTCTGGATGGAGTGGGAGGATGTTCTTTTAAAAAGAAAAAAAAGAAAAAAAAAGAACCTTTTTAAGCAGTTTCATTTCAAGAAACAGCTTCCCTATCACTGCGACTCAAATGGATTGTTGTGCACACAAAACTATCATGGACTTAATTCAGCTAAATTTTAAGGAATGAGCCTTTCTTTGTGATGACTCCATAGCGATCAACACAAGGGTTAAACAAAGCCTATCCACTTCAGTCCATTTGTAGTCTGGGCTGAACTGAGTCAGACGGAGGTGAACACAAGGACATACCGTTCCACAAAAACAATGTCTGTTTCTCATTTGTAGGTAGTAAATAAGATCTATTTTACCTTTCAGCAAAGCTATCAAGTTTTCCCAACTCATCTGACAGACCAACAAGAGCATCCAGTGTCCCCACCTGTGCAAAAGATGAGAAGTAGGTGAAAGATGCACAAGTCTGTCTAAGGCTTCTGTTGGCAGAGTCTTAGGGACACCGACTTGTGTTTAGCACTTGTTTGGCAGAACTTTATGTACTTGGTGGTAAATAGTAGCAATTCCTTTACCCAAGACCTAGGGCATAAAAAGCCTTTTCCAATAAAGGAAAAAAGTATGTGTAGTCTCAAGACTACACATCAGTGTCTTCCTTCCTGTTTTCATTCCCGTATCATCAAGTTGCATAGACTAGTCTTTAACCTGATAAAATAGTGACGAGAAATGCACACAATATACATACAAACAAATCAGATGTACTGAGAGAACCAAGGGAAGCAGCACTTATTCAAAAGGGGGTCTCTGCATTCTTTGCTATTACCAAACACTAAGCCTCTCACAAAGCCATTTCCTCCAAGACCAACATCTGCTTTTTCTATGACTCTGTCACAGTCATAATCCCATGTTTATGGCATGGCAATATATTGCCAAACCTTTTCTTGTAATGTTGCCAGTTCAACATTATGAAGGGTCAAGCTGAAGGAGAAGAAACAAATTTTACCTAGAAAAATTAGCAGAATATTAATAGGCTGGTTGCATTTTCGAATATTACAAATGCTTTATTTCCTTTAACATTAGCTGACTCACACCAACACCGTCTGGGTAAGGCCCATAGATGGTAGAAATCACATCAATCTCAGGTGAACATGCAAAAAGCAACATTCCCAGTCTGAAACATTCATATGACAATTCAGTAGGTTATTACTTGGGAACAGGTCACATTCCCCTTTTACTTGCACCCTTATGTAATTGGAACAGCTCAAGTTATAACTGTTAACAATCTTTTTGGATTAAAGCCAGACCCTGGATGCACTAAGTGTAGCTTCGTTAAGTGATGGGTGATGGCAACTCCCCAACGAACCAAGTTCTACATCTGCAGTAGCTCCATTGACTAATGCAGCATATTTGGATTTTTAATAGCCACAAGTGAAATAAAAATAAGGTGCAGATCTTACAAAATAAGGATTAAATAATGCAAAGATATTTAAAAAATCATGGATTCATACTCTTCCTATTTATATGATGATATGAAGCTGGATAATGTAGCTGAATATACACACACATCCATTTCCCAAGGAGTGATGTGGATTATAGCACCGTTTTCTCTGTCAGCAGTCTTACTGCCATGGTTCTAGATACTTAGCTACTCTCTTTGCATTAGCGATCCAAGTTGTACAATGCTGTATGACTTTCATGACTGGGCCTAAATGGTACGTTGAAGGCAATAGATTAGTTATTTAACTCATCTCACTCATGTTCACTCCTTATACACATATCCTTCCACTGTGAAGGTCAGCTTCAAGCACAATGACTCCTTTTCTCTCTGATCAATTTTCAGTTGACTGAACACAACTCATCCCCCAGCTGCAATGTTCTTCTACTCCCTGCATATTACCCCCAAAATAAATCCCACATTTATCCCAAAAGTCATTAGTCCCTGATACTTTTGTATTGCCCATGCACAAACCCCTTCCTCATTTACCTTTAAGTCTGGAATATGGAATTTGCTGTTGCTCGACAGGTTGGATTTAGATGTCACTGTGTTCATTCTCTCCCATGCCTGCAGATTTGCTTTATCTCCCGGGGCAGAAATTAGCCAGAACTCCAACATGATCTAATCTTTCCCTTCGCTCCTGGACACTGTAGAAACACAAGGCAGGTAAGTGACTAAAAGAGCACCACACAAAATGTGTTCTTCCCTAAGAGCAGAAAGAGTTAGAACGGATGACTGATTTTTTTTCAGAAACACCAGGAGAGTGAGTCAGTCCTGCGTCTCAGGCTGAAATGGAACGTGACCTTCTCCAGAATGTCACGGAAAGAGTGTGGCCGTTCGTCCTTTCTCAGGGTTGTTCCATCCAGTTTCTGAATGAAGAAACGAAGCTTCCTCCTCCCCTTTTCCCTCCCACCCTCTTCCATTCGCCTTGCACTGTAAGTCCAGTTCCATTGCGGAGTTTGGGGACTTCACTAATTAAGGATTTCTGTTTGATAAGTATCGTCACTCAGATTTTTGGGCACTTGTAGGCAAAAGTGAAAGCAAGATGTAAAAAGCCCTCTGCTGAACACGCAGGCTGCAAAAGATGCCACTGGCACGATGGAATATTGCTTTCCCCTGTGTTTTTCTTCCCAGGTTGGATAGGAAGGAGCCGGAGGAAGGCAAGTCGCGGTGCAGAGAGACGGTGATCAGCAGAGCAACATAGACACAACAGTCGCGATAATCCACGCGGGACAACCACACCGGCGTTAGCCGGACAGAGCGGGGCAGGACAGCGAGAAGCAGAAACCGCCCAGCAACCTCCCGAGGCA